ACTTCCCAAAACTCTTGCTTGGTCCTAATCCTATAGGGTAGTGTTGGCAAACTGGTTTCACCTAGTGATACTAATTGGTAGTGCCTCCGTGGAGCACTGCTGTGAGAGCTGAAATCCACCTGACTGCAAGAACCAGAGCGCCTCTTGATCAGTGATGCCTGCCTTGGGCAGAAACGACACCCTGCAGAGCTGCAGGGTCACAGAGACCAGGGCTGAGGTTGAGGTACCCAGATGGGCATGACTATAAAGCAGGAAACAAGATGGGAGACTGAGGAAAGAATTTAATGTTGCTGAAAGGAGGATGCCTAGGGTGAGGGCTCTGGCAGAGGGACACTCTGACCCTGGTCTTGGGCCAGCAGGCGCAGAAGCAGGGAGTGTAGGACCCGGCAGACAGGTGTGTAGCCCAGGCGGCTCAGGTGCAGGTAATCATACATGTCATGGTGGCTTATGGTACCATCTGAGTGCACAAAGCCAGGGTCAGCATCCAGGAAGTGGGCCCGTGGATGGCCAGCCAATGCCGCCCGTACCAGCTCGTTCACCCGTCGGTTTTTCTCACGAAGTGGGTTAGGGTGCTGGCCCCTCGGAAGCAGACCCTGAGGAGGGGCATCAGAAGTTGTGAGATATCCTACCGACATCTGGGTTCTATTAGCACCTCTGTGCCAAACTTATCCAACCCCCACCACAAAGTCTGGAATGGGAAACTCGGGATTGGAAGGGTAGTTCCTGATGTCCTGAGACCCCCATTCAGCAACAGCCTTCCGGGTGCCAGCCTTTTTTTAAGCATTACTCATAAAAATGTTGACGTAATGGCAAAGGGTCAATCTCGCAGAGAAGGAAATTTCCCAGCTAAAAGTTACAGAGCCTGGATTCACCCTGGGAATGCCTGACAACTTTTGACTAAGTGTTTTGAGTTTTAAGACCCCCAGAATCTCCAGTATTTCCTTAGGTGTTAGGAAACTTCATTGTGAAATTTTGCCTGAAAGCCACTGCTCTGTGCCAAGCTGCCCAGAACCGTGTCAGCTGTGTGGGTGGCTACACCTGAGGGGGTCCTAGACGAGTGCCATTCTTCCCCGCCCTTCCACGCTCACCAGCACCACGACCCGGGCCTGGGGCTGCCGCTGGTTCACCAGTTGCACAATGGCCTTGATGCCGCCGGCCACCTGCTCTGCTGTGTGCCCGTGGTTGTTGGTACCCACCCAGACCACCACAATCTGTGGATGGTGGAAAGAGAGGTATGAAGCAGTGGTGAGGGGGCGGGCTAAGGAGGCTTAAGCCGCCCACTCAAGCCCTGCTCACCTTGGGACGGATGTGTTCCAGCTCCCCATTCTCCAGGCGCCATAGCACGTGCTGTGTGCCATCACTGCCAATGCCAAAGTTAAGTGCGTGCAGAGGAGAGAAAAGCTCCCGCCAGATCTGTAGTCAAGAGGTGGTGTGGGAACAGGGGCATTGTCGGCATGGACCACCACCCTAGGTCCAAATGTTAATAACCAAATGTCGTTATGGAAGAGCCTCACTTCATGGAAGCAGTCTGGTTAAATCGCACCTTGAGCAAAGCCCGGTATGGTTAAACCTCACTTTATGCAAACCTATTGTAATCTCCCATTCACAGAACCTTGTACAAGAAAGACTCACTTTATGGAAACCCATTGTGCTTGAGCCATGCATTGAACCAAAAGCTGAATCTCACTTTGAGGAAAGCCATTACCGTTTAACCTCGCTTAGTGGAAAGATATTATAATAGAGCCCCCTTTGTGAAGAGCTATTACAGTCGGCCTTCACTTGGGGGAAAGGAATATAGCTTTGTGGAAATCCATTAAGCAAACGAGTCTCAGCTTAGGCAATCTTGCAGGAACACCTCATTTTAGGTCTCTCTATACACAAGCCCAGCCTGACAAAGTCAAGACACACACTTCCTTCTCAGGAGAATGTTGTACCTGACACAGATTCTGGGTGCTGGGCGCTACCTCAGGCTGTTTCGAGTACCCCATATTCCGCCTGGCCTGCGGTCTGGTCCAGGTGTGTCAGCGAAGGCACAGGCCTGGGTGGGGCCGGAGGAGGGGGACGGGCCTCACCTCGCACTGATGCATTAGCTGGACCAAGGAATCTCCGATGAAGACGACTTCGGGTTCTTTATCTTTGCTGTCGGCCACGAACCGATGGTGCTTAGGGGACAAACAAGGGGGTGTCAATGGCAGCAGCACTCCTGGGCCCAACCCCTCCCTTCCTTAGCATCACCCCAACTGCCCTCAGTTTCCCAGTCAGGTAGAGCCCCGCGAACCAGCTGAACTCCTGAGCCCCCCATCTCCACCTCCGACTCCTGAGCGTCGCGGGCGGGGTCGCTCACCAGGGACATCCAGCGCCCATCGCCCTGCACGTCCTGCACGGGCGTGGGCTTACTGGCTGGGTTCTCTCCGCTCATCTTGGCGCCGCAGCTCCTGCAGGATGAGCAAGGGAGGTCGGTCCGGGAGTTCCCGGAGGTGGTGGTTCTACCACGCCCACCCCTATCCCTCCAAGCAACAATGGACAGTCCGGATGCCCGCACTCCAGCGGTGGACGATGGCCGATCCTGGGCGCGGCCTCCTTCCAGGGGCGGAAACCTTCACTTAGGAGGGGAGGAGGTGGATCAGGAACCCTTGCTTCCCCCACGGCGGCCGCGCAGTGAGCTCGTCCGGCGCTTCTTGACCGGGCGCTTCCCACTCTCCAGCCTCGGCCGCGGCAGCTAGCTCACCCCCGGCACCTGGAGATGGGGGAGGCGAGACCATCCAGCACCCGTGGCGGGGGGTGCGGCGAGGAGGGAGAAGGGAGAAACCACCCCACTGGCGTCACGGGGAGGAGCAAATTACCTAAAAGGCCAGCAGTGGGCGGGGAAAATCTAGCGCTCTGCCTCGGGAAAAGAAACCCTTTGCTTTAGGGCTAGAAATGTGCGG